CTTACTACTGCCATTTTGTTTATGCCTCATTTATTGAACGGGAGATGGTGCTCACTTCGGCAGCACATATACTAAAATTGAACGGGAGATGCCATTTTCTACATTATGTCTTCATTTTTGGAGGTGGACACAGCATCTTCTGGAGCTCAGGTTGGTGTACATGAGGTGGGTAATGTCCGTGTGCATTGCGTGTTCCAATTGGAGGTGATTGTGAGGGGAAATTCTCTCAAAATCCATTCTGAGGCAGACTCCAAAGAAGTTCTAAAAATACTTTCAGCCAAAGCATTAATAAACTCTAGGCCCTAAAAACAACATTATATTCTGTTTGATTTTGTATTTTAAAATTTTTAATGAGTAATTGCTTTTTAATGAGTTACCTTAATTAGGTATCATCATATAAGTGTAGACATAGGCCAATTTGAATGGCTTTTAAGCATAGTTTACACATCACTTTACATTCCCTTTTAGGTCCTCCCATCCATTTTCAGCTGAGTTTAAGTTTTGTTTTTAGAATCTTCCAGAAAGAACTTCATCTTGTGATCTCCCTCTTTGTAGTGTCATGTTATCTATACCTGATCTAACATTTGCTGAGGAAATTAGTTCTAGAAACAAGGACATCAAAGTACAGAAGCTGGGGCCGGTGAAATAGCTCAGCAGACTAAGCGCCTGCTTAGGCAAGCGCAGGAACCAGTGTTTGATTCCTGGCACCACATGCAGCACTCCCCTCTCCTCCCAGGGGTGTGCTGAACTGGCCACCAAGACTGGACGCAGTGGCATGTACCTGTAATGCCAGTGCTGGGGAAGCTGAAACAGAATCACTACGAGTCTGAGCTGCATAGTAAGACCCTATACCAAATATATTTTAAAAAGTACAAAAACTGACTTCCTGGGGTTGAATCTCACTGCACTGACTGGCTAACTTTGTAACTTTGAGCAAGAAATTTTAACAGTTTTATTCTGTATTAAACATCATGATACCATTTTTATAACATTTATTCCTAAAACTCTTAGAATTTTCCAACTATAATGGTGAGAAGAGCATCATTTGTTATTCACTGTCCCTTTTCACTTCTAGTGAAGTTTGTACTGAGTTGGCTCTTAAAGAATAAGTGATGGCTGCAAGAGGAGCAGCCATGTGATTAGAATTTTGAAACTACACCCTGCAGCCCTACTTTTTTTTAAAATTAATTAATTTATTTATTTATTTGTGTGTGTGTGTGGCCAGCTCAGCCCACCGGGGGCGGGGCTGGCTGGCATGTGCTGGGGGATTGAACCACGGTCCCTGTGCTTTGCTAAGCTTGTTCTAAGTAGGTGCTTTAGACCACTGATCCATCTCACCAGCCCCATGCAGCCCTACTTTTCATCCCCACTTTCAGCAGGAAAGAGGGACCAGAAATTGATTTACTAACCAGGTGGCCAACTGTGTACACACAAAAGCCTCCATAAAACTTAACAAATGATGGGTTTCAGTGAGCTTCCAGGTTGTTGGATCCATGGAGATGCTGGGAGGTTGGAACCTAGAGGGCATGATCCAGTTACTGGGCTCTGGGGACTTGGCACTACTTGTAGAGATTCTAAGTTCTTGTTCTGAACAGAGAATGGAAAAAGCAAAAAAGGTAGCAAGGTTTCACATTTATTAAAGGTAGGGGAAAAAAATAGCCACTGCAGAGAGAGTGTGGGCCAATTAAAGTAGGAAAAGAAGTACACTACAGAGTGAGAATGGGCAACTGAAAACAATCACTTAGTGACAGCCATCTTTGCATCTCCCACTACTCAGGTGACTGGCAGGATGGTGGGCCATCCTGTGTAGAACCTGCTTGAGTTCTCAGGAGAACAGAAGACCATTCTCTGGTCCCAGGTGCAGGACTCTTGGAACTGATTTTCTGTGCATGTCCTGGATCTGCCTCATTGACAGGTCACGCGCACTTGCTCAGCCTGTCTCCCATGCCTGAATCTCCTGCCTCAGTACCACTGCTGGACTCAGAGCTATTTGCTGTATACAGCTCTTCTGACAGCTGTTCCTGAGTTGCATCCTTTATAATAGGCTACCAGCAGTGTTCTAATTCTGTGCCAGTTATTCAACTTGCAAGGGATCATGGATAGAGCTTGTGTTTCCACAAGCATTGAATGAATTCACTAACCAAAAGAGAAAATTAGGAGACCTTTTTTTGGAAATAAAAATAGCTTTGGGGGGGTCGGGGAGATGGCCTAGTGGAATAAGCGCCTCCCTGGCAAGCACAAGGGCCTGAGTTCAATCCCCGGTTCTGCAAAAAAAAAGAAAGCTTTGAGATGGGTGGTGCGGCAGGTTCTGAGTGTGCAGCCATGTGGCTCCTTGGTCCAGAGCTAATTATAGGTAGGCAGATCACAGGAATTGCTCCATTGTTGAGTGGCCACCTACCATAGGTGGCTCTGGATTTAAAATGGTCCAGTTGGAAATCAGACTGTCTACCCCAGTTCTTCAACATGTAGGGTTAAAGGAAACTAGGGAGCTGGAGAAATAGCTCAGCAGCTTAAATGCCTGCCTGGCAAGCACAAAGTCCCAAGTTCAATCCTAGGTACCAAAATAAATAAAAAAAAAAAAGAAAGAAACTGGGATTTTACAGGGAATCAATGGTTATTTTGCACCTTAAATCTCTTAAAACTCAAGCTTAGTAGGGAGTGGTAGAAACTCCCTCTAAGGATGCAGTCCTTCATCCTTGGTCCAGAGTCCTAGTTCATTGTCTAATGCTTGTCACTATGGCTAATCACCCAACTATCTCAGACCCTTCCCATAGCTTGCTGCCTCACTCATAAGCTAACTACATAATTTTCTACAAATGAGTGGGAACCCTTGATTTTATAGTTAACTTGGACAGAAGCTTGGGTAACTTGGGGACCTATCATTTGCTGTTGGCTCTGAAGTGGGTGGCAGTCTTTAGACTGAGCCCTTGACCTCCGCTGATCTTGGAGTTGGGGTTAGGGGTTGAGAAGGCTACTGCAGAGCAGGTGTCCACGAGGAGCTAGAGACCAACTTGGTATGGAAAGCCCACACTGTTTGATATATGTAGAGGAAAAGCATATATATATATATATATATATATATATATATATACACTCTGAAGCTGTGTGTCCTGCTTTTAAGAGTAGGTCATTAAATCCTCCTGGCAACCCTTTGAGGTACGTTGTTATACCTATTGTAATGGAAGCTGCAGTCAAAATGGATTAAGTAGCTCTCCTGGTGTCTCACAGCATAAGTGATGGAAGCAACTCTAGTCTAGATAGGCTGGCTTGAGAATGTGTCTAGAACCACTTTGTTCTGCTACTTGTTTTTGTTCCTGAGGTGGGAGTTCAGACCTGTATTTATGACACCAAACATTGCTGGTCAGTGCTAAAAGAAAGTGTTTTGTGCATCTGAGACATCATAATAGACTATACCTTCTAAAATATGTATTTAGTGTTTACTGCTAACTGTGTATTAGGGCTGGACTGTGGCTGGATGCTTTTCAATAGGTGTTCCATCTAGACTGAAAGGTGGTGAACCAGCAGCTAAAAGGGCCCCACTGGGTTGCAGTTAGACCAAGTTTACTCATGTACCATGAGCAGTGTGAAACTACAGTCCTTTTACTATCTGAGTATATATTTAAGATGATGCTTGGCCTAGGTGCTTCCTAACCTTGAGGCAGTTTCTTGAGTACTTGAACACAATGAAGTGGTAAATGGGAGACAGAAATGATCCAATTTATTTTTTTCAATGAATTATCAGGGTTATTTTTTATGTATTTAGTACAGGGTCTACAGGGTGTCACTACACAGATCAGACTCGCAGTGATTCTCCTGTTTTCAGCCTCCTGAGTGCTGGGATTACAGGTGCACGCCACCATGCCCAGTCTCAGTTACCATCTCAGCGAACCCCGGGTGTGGGGCTGGCATGGCACGCAGGGGATCGAACCTGGTCCCTGCATCTGCTAAGCAGGCACTTTAATCTGCTGAGCTATCTGGCCAGCCCGATGATCCAATTTAGAAGGGTTAAAGCTGAGGGGATTGGGCCAGGGATATAGGTGAGGGGCACAAGTGCCTGCCTAGCAAGCACAAGGCCCTGAGTTTTGATTCCCAGTACAAACAAAAAAAGGTGAGAGGGTTGAAGAGGGCATTAAATGAGAGGATGTGAGCTTAAAAGACAAGTGTGTTATTCCAGAAGTGCAGAAGAAGGGAAGAACCAAGAAACGGGAAAAAATGGAAGTGTAAAGGGCTGTAAAGGCCCATCTACATGTTACCCTTTCCTCAAAAATGACTTTTCCTGTTAACGCTGAGAATATAGGAGTGAATGTTTTCATGGGTAAGAGCACTGTGCCTTAGAAACCTCTTCAGTAAAATCGTGTTGTGACGCAGCTCAGGTAATACAGCCCCAGAGCAATTGTCAGCCGTGCCCTGCCAGCTCTGGGCGCCAAGATCCTTGCTGTGTCCTCCAGTCCCCTTCAAGATTACCTTGTATTTGAAGTTTTACTAAGTGAACACAGCTACTAAATCTCAGTAAGAAAATAGGCCAAATATGTTTTATTTTATTTTTTTTAATATTTATTTATTTTTATTTATTACATTTATTTATTGTGTGTGTGTGTGGCCAGCTCAGCCCACCAGGGGGCGGGTCTGGCTGGCATGTGGTGCTGGGGATCGAACCGAGGTCCCTGTGCTTTGCCAAGCTTGTTTCAAGTAGGTGCTTTAGACCACTGAGCCATCTCTCCAGCCCCCGAATATGTTTTAAAAAATACAAAATTTTAATCTTTACAAATGGCAATCATGTATATTAAGGCCCCTAATTAAAAATTTTTTTTTCAATCTGCAGAGCAAAACAACACATGATTTTACAGTATCTTCTTGGCTGGGGATGTAGTTCAGTGGCACAGCGCCTGCCTGGTGACAATGAGGCCCTGAGTTTGATTCCCCATATCAAAAAAGAGAATAGGGGGGCCAGGGAGATGGCTCAGTAAGGGCCTGAGTTCAATCCCCAGTTCCACCAAAAAATATAAAAACAGAGAATACTAAAAAAAAAAAAAAAAAAAAAAGACCCCCAATGAAAGCCCCTCTAAAGTGTTTTCCTCTGTGCACTTTTCCCTTCAGCCTAATACTCTGCTGATAGGCTCACAAAGAGAAGGTGCTCAGCTTTCTGGGAATACCTTGAGAACCAGCCCCCCTAGATGGGGAACTCCTCATCCTCCACCAGGCCGGCCGCAGACTTTCTTCTCTCTCCTCTAAAGCAAGACTCCTGCAGCGTCAGGGCCACGCAACCCAAGCCACCCATCTGCCAGTCAGCTCCAGTGCCGATGAGAACCCTGCACGGCTGACCATGGGAACTTATGGTCTTCCTTTGGCTTTTCCAGCTTCTTGGCCCACGTTCTGGAGTGTGTGTCTTTAAGGCACCAAATGATTTTAAGAATTGACTCTGCTTCCGATGTAAGCCTTTTCCTTCATACACTAGTCATGTGTCTGCCACTGCTGGATGCCAACTCCTGACCTGGCAGGTCCCACAGCTGTGTTAGTGGAGCAAGGCAACTTCAGAAGTCTTCACTGAGCCTTCAAGGCAGGAAGTAATTAATTCTCTGGGAAATAGATTTGCATCCCTGGGAAGAAAAGAGCTGTTCCTCCTTGGGAACATACGTCATCATCTTGGCAACTTCATCCAGGACCTCTTCTGAGTACGGGAGCTCCTGGCCTAGGAAAGCATCACGTACGCACAGTCTCACGTGGCGGTACTCCAGTGGCAGGAAAGGGACAAAGAAGTCAATCAGGTTTTCCTTCACAAGACGACTGTGGCCCAAGCCACTCTCTGAAATCAAACCCAAAGTTATATGAACTCTGATGGGCTGAATTCAGCTGAAGTGTTAAGGTGTCCCAGAAGCTAAGGCCTGGGCAAGATGTGACCTCATACGCCAGTCTCGTGGGCTGTCTGCAGCACATGGCAAGAGCCATGCGGCTCTGCACCTGGAGGTGACAAGCACTGCTGTGGTAGCAGGATGTGCAGAGAAGCAGAGAGAGGGGCAGGACTGCCCCTGTGGCTGTGATTGCAGAAAGAGGTAGATGAGCCTACCTTGGCAGGAGGCTGACCCACTCAGTTTATGGGTCTCAGACACCACTGCCTGGTGCTCCAGGCCAGTGCAAACAGTGCTTTCAAAGCATTTTCAGAAAATCTCAGGCTTTCTGTGGGACTTTTATTTTGCCACCCAAACCTGATCATTAAACATGATTATGAGCTGTCCCCAGGATCTCAAGCACCCTGTCCACCTCGCGGCTGTGGCTCTCAGAGGCTTCCATTCTGCCTGGCTGGGAGCCAGCCACTTACCTGTAGACTCCATAATTCCAGCCTGGAGGTGGGGCTCCAAGTGTTCCACTGTAATATCTTCCCGGGCCCATCCAGCCTGAAGCAACTTCAGGACTGCCTCATTGATGACACTGCCTCCAAGGTTACTAAAAGACAAGAGACTGTTGGCAGGTGTCTTTTGATTATTCAAATGGCCACAGAAGCCAACCGCTCCTTGATGCCTGAAAGAATGGAGGCTGAGGGGCTGATCTCCAGCAAGCCGCATCACAACCCAAAGAAGGCACTGCCTGCTCTTCCACCCATCCTCCCTTTCAACACTTAGAAGACTGTGTTCAGGGAGCACAAGGTTCATTCCCTTGAGTTCTGTACATACTTCCATGTGTGCATGAAATTCCAGGACCATGTGGCAAGTACTAATGGAGAAACAACTGAGGTCTAGGCAGACAGCATCAGGGCGGAGCTGGCCTCTGAGCAAATCCACACCAAGTAATGATTGTCAGACCTGGGGAGGTAAGGCTGTGTGTCCCTGGACCAATGCATCACAGGCCATGGGGCCAGGGGCAGAGGAGCGCTGTGTGAGGGGTTGGCCAAGCCTGGGGGAGGAGGCCTCCTGTACCACGTGCATGGGTTTAGCTTGGGGGCCACACAGATCAACTGAAGAGTTGTAAGTGTGGGTTTGTAACCTAATCAGCTTTGTGGCCTAAGACAATCGTTCTTGGGGTACAGAGGCTGATGAGGCATGGAGTGTTTGCAGAAAGCTAGTCCCACAATGTTTGCCAACAGTCTGTGTTTAGAGGTGATGAAGGGAAGGATTAAGAGTTTAGGAAACACCACTGACAGGATGCCACAACTGATGAAAATGGGAAGCGAGAAAAAGGAAGCCAAAAAAAGTGTTTGTGCGAGTTACTTGCTGCTCTGCTAGACAGGAGAAGGCTGGAAATGAGAGCTTGGTTTTATTGCCTGTGAGTATTTTCCACTGCCTGTCACCTCTCTGGGGCGGGGATGTAGTTGGACAGAGGAATTACAGATCCAAAACACAAGAAAGAAGATGGAGAAAGGCGGTAAGGACAAAAGAGGAACCCAGAGACCCACGCTGAGAAGCTGCTGCTGCCCTGCCGCTGTACCCTGCTGTCAGCGGCCATCGTCCCCTAAAGCAAGCTTGGCCCTCCCTCTCCCCACTGCTTTTTGCCCAGGGCCAATAGAATGGGGAGGGCTGATGAAGGACTAGGGAAATCAGGCCTAAAGCTAAGGAGAGGGTCCCCAACACGCCTTTACTCTCTCCTCACAAGTTGCTGCAGCTCTTTGACACCCTTCACTGTAGTAGCCCATTTCTTTGCTCATTTAACATTTGTGTTGGGGGCGGGGAGCTAGGTGTTGGGTTTTCTCCAAGGGGCGGTCAAGCTGGGACTGCCAGATTGCCTCTCCAAGGGCTGCACGGCCTCCTCCCTTAGGCCACAAAGCCAGAGCCAAGCAAGGACAGTCTCCACTCCTGCCTCAGCCTCTGTAGGAAGTTTGCAAGGCAGTTATCTGGGCCACAGCTGCCTGGGTAGGGCAGGTCCACCCTATGCAGCACTCCCTGCAGGAGACAGACGCAGGGAGAGCTTTCCAGCAGAAGGGGCTCACGGGCCACAGGCCACGTCTCCAGGGTAAAGAAGACACTAGTGCAGCTCATCCACCCACCCTAGTGCACAGAGCAGTACCTTTCCCTTTCTTCGCAGGGAACTACCGCCTTTGAGCTGCTTGCAAACAGGAAGCTTACTTCTCCATGAAGCCTGGTGCCCAGCATGGCACTCAGCATCCCCAGTGCCCCACACTAGCTCCAGCTCCAGCTCCCTTCTGAGTTTCCACTCCTGTTTTGTCCCCTAGCTGATCTCTTCCTTCCCCCACCATGGTACAGGCCTCACCTATACCACTTGGGAGCCCTGTCCCTTCCTTGCCCCCTGCCAGCTCTTTAGGGCTCCTGCTGGCACCTGCATGCCACTTTTGGACAGACTTGCCATGCTGGAGCACTTCTGTTCCTTCCATAGCACCAGGGCCACCTGCTGACTGCTACAGGGGCAGAAAGCCCCCGATGGGCCAGTCCTCTCCTCTGGCCTGAGACAGGACGAAGGCCTCTGCAGAACCGGCTGTCACTGATGAGCTTGGCAACAAACTCCAACAGCTAAGTTTTTCCTTGCAGAGGGAAAGAACAGATACAGATTGAATCACAAATCTATTTAAGCCTTACTTTCCTTACTGGAAAAGTGAGGATTACTGGGCTTGGTCAATAAAGAGCAGTCAACAAATGAACACTGAGCATTTTCTGCACACTGAGATAGAAGACCATGAGTTATCTATACTTATAAATTCTTTGCAGTTCTTAGTTATTTCAAAGAAAACAAATTAGTCTTCCTCTCTCAGCTTCAGTAGCTCTGATCTCTGGTCTTTCTACAGGACCTCATTTCCAGAACTTTCTGTACTTGGTAGAAATGGGAAAAAGTACTCAATGTTAGTTTCCTAGTGACCAGATGTAGGCAGCTTAATTCCTCCTGCCAAGACTGGCAACAGGCTCTGGGAATTCCTTACCCACGGCACACTAAACTTCTTCCTCCAACTGCCACCTCCAAAACCAAGCTGTGAAACAGCAAGCCGCTGCTCCTAAAAACTGTTCTAGCTGTTCTTCAGGACACAGGTTCAGAACCCTACGACCAGCCTACAGTGACCTGGACAGCTTGAGGGAGCCAACAGGCCCTGCACAGAGAACCTAGATTAGAAGCCAGATGTGCTGTCAGTAGTTACAGGAGGGACTGAAATTGTCTACCAGCTTCACCTGAACTGCTCTCTGATGATTCCAGCCAAGCATGCCTTTCTCCCCACACCCCAGGCTGCTTAAATCCTTGTGCTACTAACCAATGGGGAGGTCCATGAGCAAATGTCTGTCTGGAGACAGCTGGGTCACATGAGGCAACCACAGCCCAGGTGAGGGCAAGAATTTTCCAGCCTGAGGCACAGAGATCTTCAGCTCCTCAGATGCACATGAAACTGGACTGATCCAGAGGGGGCAGAAACAACAGTGGGAGACCCCGACTGTGGCCACCAGGCTTCATGCATTTGGGAAGGCTGGATTCTGCAGCAGTGGGGCCAGCATCTCAACTCCCGCCCAGAGGGCCCAGGTGGGGCAGCCGTGGGCACGGGCAGACAGTGCAGAACCTGAGGTCGGGACCAACAAGATACTTATGCCGTGTCAGGTGGCTCTTCTCTCTTAAACCCCTTCTGGAGCTTCACCTCAACCTCTGCACCACCCCACATCACTCTCACACCCCTGCACAGCTTTACACACTGGGAAGGACACGGGAATCCCAACTACCAACAATGCTTCCAACCAGTCCAGCCTGTCCTGTCAGCACAGAAACAAGGTCAGCCCTCCACAGCAGGCCAGACAAAATCACCCCGTCCTATCCCCACCAGCTGTACCCTAATCCCCCAGAAAACCCATCTGCAAGTGAGTGCCAACAGAAGTGAGAAGTGAAGGTAGAGTGGGCTGGGGAGGAGCAATGGCTTGACTTCCACTGAGTCTACAAGGAGCTCTGTGAAGCACTCAACATGAACCTTTCGTACAGACAGTCTAAGCCAGGCACTGACATGCACACCTGCAATCCCAGTGCATGGGAGGCTGAGCCAGGAGGACTGCAAGTAGAGACCCCATCTCAAAAACATTAAAACAAGCTGGGTGTAGTGGCACCTGCCTGTAATCCCTGGTCTTGGGAGGTGAAGTTATGAGGACTGTAATAAATTCAAGCTGGGGGGCTGGGGAGATGGCTCACTGGAATAAGTGCTTGCCTGGCAAGCACAAGGGCCTGAGTTCAATCCTCAGTTCTGGGAAAAAAAAAAAAATTCAAGCTGGCCTGGGCTACATATTGAGTTCAAGATCAGTCTATACACAGCGAGACTGTGTCAAAAAAAAAAAAAAGTTAAATTTTAAAATAAGACAAAGAGTTGTCCAAGTTATTTCTAATTTTGCACCCATTTCAAGAGCCTGGGGTACACAGGTACTGCAGGGCAGGTTTGCAAACCCAACTCCAAGTGCTGAGAGGGAGAGTGCTGCTTACTTAACCCTACATGCTGCATGACAGGAATGGAATCCTTCTGATCAGAGGCCTTCCAAGGCTGGGGAGGGACAGCAATGTGGACTCAGTGGGACACTTGCTCTGTCCTCTGACTAGGCCTTCCTTGCAAATTTTCAGGGATGGTTTATACTTGCTTTTCAGCTACGGGGCTGACTTGAAAACAAAACACCTTCCGCAGGGGCCTCTGTGAGAGTGGCGGCTCTCAGAGTGAGTGTTGTTCTGACAGATGACATCTCTCCGCTAGGCCAGTCTGGCCTGAGCTTTGGAGACCCTCAGACGTGCTTGCAGGCAGTCAGGGCAAAAGCAGGGAAAGTCAAGGCAAGTAGCCAGCTCCTTCTCCCCAGCCACCATGTATGTTAGTCTTTCTGGATCTGAAGGGCCTGGCGCTGAGTAGGGAAGCCCTCCATGGCCTGCCTGTGTCCTCTCCAACCCAGCTCTCTTGTTGCTCCTCAGCCCTCACCTGAGAAAGAGAAAGATGCTTCTTGCAAACTTGGTTCTGTGGTCCTCAGTAGCCTGGCGTTCCAAGTGTTGCCCAAGGAGCTCCAGCAGCTCCGGATGCAGCTTCTCAGCCTCATCAAAGATGAGTAGGCTCTGGCTACAGTGCTGCTGCATTCCCTGGATTTGATCCACCAGCTGCTCCTGTGCAGGACACAGAAAGCTAGTGAGTCCTGGGGCACAACCTCGGGCCACAGGGAACAAGCCTGGGGCCTGGGCTTGTGTACCCTGGAACAGGCTTCCCAGGTGATTCTCCCGCACCCTTGGGCCTGGCAGGCCCTGTCAGTGCAGAGGGCAAGGCCCTGGAAGCACATGGGGGGAACCTTCTGGTCCTGGGTACAGGGTCAGTCCAGCATGCTCTCCCCTCTCCAGGATTAAGTCCCATTCTGGAGCTAATTGCCAGCTTGTCCTTCCCAGAGACAGAGTTGGACTTCTCTGTGGGGGTGATGGGCAGGACAGGGCCTAGAGGCAGGCCCAGTGTGCCATGCTCCCTTCTAGGAACAAAGCACCCTCGGGCATAGCATGGGCTGAAATTTCAAGGGACCAAGCTTGCTGAGGGTCTGGTGGGTCATAGCCAGCCTGTGACTTGGGGCTCCTGCAGGGGTGAGCTCCCAGCACAGGCAAAAGTAAACCTCAAGGCTGGGTGTAATTCCAGCATTCAAGAGACTGAAACGTGAGGATCACTGTGAGTTTGAGGCCAGCCTAGGCTATATAAAGAGTTCAAGACCAGACTGAACTACAAAGCAAAATCCTGTCCCAAAAACCCCATAAAGGGTTTGGGAAAATAGCTCAGTGGCACAAGTGTCTGCTTGGCAAGCTCTAGGTCTTGAGTTCGATTCCCAGTACCAAAAAAAAAAACAAAAAAAGAAAAAACAGGGATAGGTGTATAACCCAGGGGAGCAGGGCAGTTGTCTAGCATGCTGGAGGTACTGGGCTTTATCCCCAGCAACACACACACACACACACACACACACACACACACACACACATCCACATGCACAAGTAGAACTGGCAACTTTCTGTCCAATAAAATGACAATGGTATGAAACACCACTGGGAAGTCTGACGTGAAGGGAAGCTCGCCGGAATGCTAACTGATGAGGTTGTGTCCGCCTGGGGAGGTTATGGTCAAGTTTCTGTTTTTCTCCCTCTCACATTTCCTGGGACATTTCACTACTTCCATAATGTAAAAATGAATGCTGACTGGGTCTGCTGCCTGCTCCCTGCCCCCTTGGCTTTTCCCGACCACATGCTGGTAAGGAAGGGCTGGTGTGAGGCTGTCCCCCATCACAGAGGCCCCGCTTGGCCCCGCCTGCCCAGATGGCCTCACCTTGTACAGGTCCACATACTTGGGGTGTGGAAAATGGAACACGGCAATGAACATCTTGACACAGTCACTCTTTAGCCCGTCCCGATACAAGTTCTCTGCCACCATCCGTGCCACAAAGTTCTTGCCTGTGCCAGACCAGCCATGGAATGAGAGTGCCAGGGCCTTGTGTGGCTGGGGCATCTCTAAGTAGCCTTTCACAGCTCTGAAGACCAGCTCTCGGGCTAAATGCTGGCCATGCAGCCGCACACTCAGGTCTGACTCTAAGGCTAGGGGCAGAAAGAAAGGCCTAGTCAGAAGCACGCACAGGCACACTCCCCACTAGGGGAGAGGTCAGCTATTTCATCCTGTTTGTCCTCAGAAGAGGCCAGAGGACAGCCCTTGAAGCAGAAGAGATTCAAGAGCTATTTTGTGAAGAATCTGAGAAATCAAGATTGAACTCATAGCGAGAACGGACCCACCCTCTGACGCCATGCCACATTGGGCAGCACCAGTGAGCTTGGAGGAGGAACCCCACCCCACTCTGAGGCTTCCTATCCTTAGTTTCAGTTCTCCTTAAGTGTTTCTTGTAAAAGTCCCAGCTTCTCACTTCTATTTTAATCCAGCAAACACTTGAACAGAGCAGCCGCTGTGGGCCAGGTCCTCTGCTAGGCCTTGCGACCTTTCAGCGATGAGGCTACAGGATTTAGGGACAGGGAGGTGTGCGGCCAGCTGGCAGGGGGAGTGAACGCTTGGGGCTCAGGACCAACTGGCCTGGCCCTTGAGCCGGCCCGGTGGGGGTGGACCCTGGAGCCTTGGCAAGGCAAGATCCACTGTGAATCACTGCGAGTGTCACATGCTGCTTTAAAACTACCAGAGAAAAATCCTTGCTGCTATTTCCTTGTACTGAGGACTATGTGGTTTCGTATTTAATCCTCACAATAATTCTATAAAGCAGAGGAAACAGACTTAGAAAGGACTGCCCAAGGTGTGGCAGCTATGCTTGTAAGAGGTGAGACTAGGGACTCACACAGGGATTTCTGATGCCTGCTCAGCCACAGCAGGCTGGGTATTTGGAGACAGTGAGTATGTTGCAGATGGGGGGTGGGGACAGGGGCGGATTGCTAGTTGCCTACTTAGCGTCTTATCCCAAGTTGGCAGAAACCCCAATTCAGACTTCCTGACCTGTGTGGAGTCTGAGAGAGGGCCCTGTGGTAGACAGTCACTGGCACTTCCTCCATTTGAATGACCAAAATATAGGGTGGGCCTCATTTATGAAGATTAAAAAACTGGGATTAGGGGACTTCAGGAGAATAAACTTCTGGGGATAACAGGAAACATTCACAGAGCACTAACCTACTGGTCTTTTATCAGATTCAGTTCTGCAATTGAGGCTGAGAGTTAAAATACAAATTAGGTACAATAGGGACCTAATTTAAATGCACAGAGGAGGGAGGTTGATCAGCAGTCAGTCATAAACAGTTGGCCTTGAGGGGGAGAATTCACAGTATACGGGGTGGGAGGGCAATCTGCAAGCCATCTGGTGGTTAATGTTACCTAGTTTTTTTATCAGGAATAATCTACTCCTCTGAGGGTGAGAAGCCACTGAGGCACCCCTGCCGATTCAAGATAAACTAGGAAACCCATGTTGCTTTCAGACCTTTGTTGGCTAAAGGTTAATCACATCCCATCATTTTTAGTCAGTTCCTTCACTGATAGTCTTACTCACTGTCTGAAAGTTCGCTCATTCTGTTCAGAGACAAAGTGCTCTGGGCCTGACTCTTCTGAAGGGTCATAAAATATGCTGGATTATGTATGAGTCAATCCCTAAAAACTTTTAATACGGTGCCTGGTACATAGAAAATATAATATCAGTAGTTACTAACTTTTGGGGGGTGGGGTTGCTAGGAATCACATTCAGGTCCCTTATAGTGATCTACATCCCAGTCCTACTCTTGTGAAATTTTGAGATAGAGTTCTTGCTAAATCACTGAGTTGCCTGGAATGGTTTTAAATTTCCAGTCTTCTTGTCTCAGCCTCACAGTGCTGGGATTATAGGTGTGTACCACCACACCTGGCAATATTAACCATTCTTTTTTTTTTTACCCCTTGGACCCACTCCCAGGGAAGACAGGAGGGCATGGAGTGGGGTAGCAAATGAGCCAAGGAAAAACTTCAGTACCTAAATACCTGGCAGTGATCCCTCCTCTTAGCTGGGTGTGACATTTCAGGGAAATTCTCCTGAATTTCAAGGAGCTCTGAGTCATCAAACTAAATGTGAAAGAGGGCTTCGCAGCCCTGATTCAAATATCATGGTGCTCCTTTGAGAGCCACAGGGGAGGGCTCAGGTAGAGAAGTGTTGTGGCCTCTGTTCCTAGGTGGGAGAATGCAGTGACACCTCTGATGACGCCATTAATGCTGGTGTCACTCTGTTCCCACTGTTGAAGGGTGGATCTCTGGAGAACCTAATAGTTTTCTCAAAGATCCTCAAGCAACTGCAGACCTGACCACAGTCTTACTGTGGCAATTGCCACACGGCGGGAGGCTGGGCAAGAGGCCCAGTTGTCACTCGTACCCTGCCATTTCCCTGCAGTCAGTCTCCTCCTCTTCCCCTGATCTCCAGCCCCTAGACATGTGCCGGGTCCAACCTGAAAAGTTGTTGGAGATCCTGCAGTCGCCACCATTGCAGCAGTCCTGGAAGCTGCAGTACCACGTGGTCAGGATATCCAGGGACCTCTGGCCCCACTGGGTAAGGGTCTGGCCTGGAAAAAGAGGAGCTATGAGGCACAGCCAAGACTCTGTTAGCTCACTAGTGAGGTGACAACCAAACTCACTTGGGTCGCAACTCCCACCCCAGGCTCTGCCTACTGCATGAGTTCAAGCACTGCTGCCACAAGCACCAGAGGGGGACCTGGGAGTGGGGGAAGTCACCAGCTTCGTCCAAGCAAACCCTCCTTAGGGTCATCAAAGTTAGGGAGAAGCACCCCAGACACTTCAGCACTTTCTGATTCGCTGAGGCCACAGCCTTGGGCCACAGCCTGGGCAGAACAGAGGCTGGGCCGAGGAAGCGCTGCTGTGAGGCAGAAGGGCGGCTCTTACCCAGGCGGCTGGCCGCAGCCTGGCCATCCTCCTCACAATCGTCGGGCCACATCTGGCAGCTCAAGAGCGCCCAGTACCGCCAGGAGTGGGCACCGGCCGTACTCAGCCGTTCCCTCAGGCGCTGGAGGCCCGGCCAGCCCCAGGCCGAACCCGCCTCATCGGCACCCTCTCTCCGCCTTTCTGCACCACAGTGCCCCGGCAGGCCCAGGAGCAGCAGAAGGAACGGGAGACTGAGCTCTAGCGTGCTCATGGCTGAGACCCCTCGTCCGCAGGAAGCTCAGGCTCAGGCTCCGGGTTCTGGGAGGGCGGGGCGAGAGTCAGAGGTGGGCGAGGACATTGATTGGTTGTCGCCATGGTGACTGGCGGGTCACTTGGGTGTGTCCTGTCTGTAGCCCGCCCACTGGCTACCCGAGACCAGGATGAGGAATAGAAACTTAGGCTGTGTGCTAGGACTCATCTGGAGGCAAAAGTCATTCCCTCCAGCCTCCCTCCACCGGCCTTTTTAGAAGCAGTCTATTTTGGGGCAAGCTTAGAGTTGTAAAGAAGGTGATATCTTGCCTTGAAACGCCACTGTTAAATCACGCTATCACTAGCCGTACCTCTGGTGGCCCATCTGAGGCTTACCAAATAAGGCCGCTGGTTCGCCTCCTGCCCTAGGTCAGCAGGCCAGCTTCCTGCCAGCCTATGAGAGGAAGCTGCCTATGCCACTTCAGTCCGGTGCATTATGCTGGGAGAGGAGTTAGCCGAGCGGAGGCCTGGAGTCTGCAGAGACGTGCAAACAGCAACAGGGAACCGGTAGGCTTCCACAAAAAGCAAGATGCTGATGGTTTCCAGTCTGCAGACATTTGGGTTTTGTATATCCTCACAGTCATGGGGAAATCATAAGGTCTCTTGTCAATGTAATTCTCAGAGAGAGAGAGAGAGAGAGAGAGAGAGAGAGAGAGAGAGAGAGAGAGAGCGCCTAAGTACAGTGGTGTGAAACAAGAACATTCTTGTGACTAAGCAGCCCAAGAGATACTACTTGAGGGTCTTTTTCCTAGGCTTCCTTAGCGTGGAGCATAGACCAAGGTTGAACAAGGTCGACCTCATAAAAGCTTACTGCATTTTTCCAAAACCAACCAAGTCATCAAAGTCAGTGATCTATGAGCCTAGGTGCTAGCCCTGTCCTAGTTGGAAACTGCTGAGAAGATCCGGGGAGCTGATCAATGTCTTTTGGGCTCAGGCTCTGCAGACAAAAGATGAATCCTAGCACCACACCTCACGACCAACATTACAGGCAAAGTGCTTCCCCTGCCCACCCCACACTCCAGACCAGGGTGGCTGTCCTTAGCAGACAGCCAAATTTCTCCCTCCTTTCATTCAAACAGCCTCCAAACCACAGAAGCACCTTTGTTAGGACAGAGTTAAGCTGAAAAGTAATGCTATACGTACAGATCATGTCTTAGACTGGTGGTGCCAAAAGTGAATCCAAACCTTTCATGGAGCAGCTATCACACAGGACATTACTTACAGTTGAGCTGGTGGACTCCTTTGGAGAACACACAACTATGAACACACTGCCGTGGCTAGGAGTCAGTGTCTCCCCGACTCCCAAGGCTCATGCCAGAGCTCACCCTCATCACCAGTGAAAGCTGAAGAGGTGAGACCTAGCGTGAGGCTTTGGGTCAGCGCCACAGAGAGGACAGAGATGTGTTCTCTTCTTTTGAGCCCTGACTGCGAGGTAAGCCGTGAGTGATATCTGCTCTGGCCCACACTCCCACCAGGAAGTCCTGCATCCCACCCCATCCCTACCTCCTGGGAGAGGCCTCCAAACAAGGGGTCCACCTGATCATGACCAGAACCTCCAAAACTGTGGAAAAAAGGACATCTACTCCTTTATTATTATCTCCTATTACAGCAACAGAAAGCCAACACACCATGTGCTTATCTGAAAATTGAGAACATTAACCCACTTACCAAATTTTCTTTGAGCCTAAGTGGCAGTCCAGCATAGCAATAGCATGGGCCCTGCCAGTTTCTGCTTGTGGGGCTTTCGGTATTACCAAATTGACCCATGCCTTGATTCCCCATCTACTAAATAGTTGCTTTATGAAAAGTGGCCTGAGTATATCCTAAACACATTAACTTTTATTTTCATATGTTTAGATAATACATAAAACAGCCTATTGGAGGAGAGTTGGATGGGTTAATACTGCATTCACTGGAATTTATGGTGATATACTTACAAGTAATGGGATGAGATACAGTTCACTGGCACAGCACCTGCCTGGCATGCTTGAGTTTCCAGGCTCAATCCCAGCACTAGCTCCAAAATTACTAGTAATAGGTTATAAAATCAATCCAGGTTTTAAGACTGTGGAAATTGGGCCCGGGAGATAGCTCAGTAGAATAAGCATTTGCCTGGCAAGCGCAAGGGCCTGAGTTCAATCTCTGTTTCCGAGAAAAAAAAAAAAAAAAGACTCTGGAAAATATGTTTTGGTTTAAATTTAGAATTTTATGCTGAGTAAAAATTTTATGCTGGGAAGTTGTTGAACCAAACTGATTTCAAGATTTTTTTTTCCCCTAAAAGAAAATAAACTTTTTTGTCAGCCCACAGGAAAACAACAAATTGAAATACTGGTTTCTAAGTAATCTCTTGGGTATTTCAGTAAATCACTACTTCATTCACAGGACTTTGCTAATGGCTATAAACGCATAACAGCTAGATCCCATGGATGATGAGGACATCTAGAGGCTATTGTGAAACCTGCAGGCAGCTATATTCCTCACCTAGCACCAGTGTGGTCCAGGGACCTGTGGCAGAGGCACTGCCTCAAGTTTCCCAGGAACGCAGAATTTCAGACTCCAGACCTACTGAACCAAAATGTGCACTTTAGCAAGATCTCCTAAGAGAAAATGGGCACACAATACCTTTATTAAGGTCACCTGAATGAAATCTGGCTTTATAAAACACATCTCCCCAAACCTACTGAAGGCAGGGAGTACCATCTGCCTTGTAAACAATCTTTGGGTACAAATCAATTCTGTATCCTAAATCACCTTGAGATGTAAAAAATACACTCTGAAAGCATACAAACCTCACACCTCATGTATTCGCCTGTAGCTCCTTTGTTTAGCATATACACTACACAGTGCTGAGGCATCAGGGTGCAGAGACTGTGTTCTTGAGACAGGGCACACCCAGGGTCCTGATGAAGATGTGACAGCCCTGAAGAGGCATTCCCAGTAACCCGGGCACCAGAAGCAGTACAGGCCAAGGCTCTGCATCTCAGCACATGACTCTGCATGTGTGGAATCGTGTTCTACACACAGCCCGGGTCACATCTGGACAAATCTCCTTCTTTGATGTAGGTGCTGCCTCTTCCACCCCCATGATTCTTGCCTTATCTCCAAGGTGAGTACTTTACAGTCTTCCTGAAGCATCAGGTGCCTCACAAGCAGGACCAGAGGCTCTGGGGGAAGGGGCAGTCACTGCCACCTTGGTAGCATGCACAGCCCATACAACACCCAAATGTCTACCAAAGACCAAACATCTTGAATATTGTGGCTCTATCCCATTTTCCTTGAGGGTTTCTTTTACCTTACAGAATGCTACCAATGGAAAACCAGTGCTTGTGATCAGTGTCTAATTGACAGTGATGGCTGCCAAAAAAGTTTTATGGGTTCACAGAGCAGGTAAAATCACCCAGGAACAGAACCTCCTTCCCCCACTCCAGCTAGCAAGTGAATCCTGCAGCCTATCCTTCAGAAGAATCTGTATGTGGTGAGTCAGGGAGGAACACATGTTTCATCCTCCCACATATATTCAAGTACAAATGACAAAAACTGGCAAATACTCTGAAAATCAAGTAAAAATGTTAAGAACTCTGCTTGGTTGTCTAAGGCTTATGATGCTAGATTTCCAGTTCACAAGTTAAAAATCAGGATGTTCTAAGAATTCTAATCAGGGCAGCTGGCCTTCTTTTCTTACCTAAACTGTATAGTGTCACACCAACAAAGTCTTTAAGATTGGTAATTCCTGGTCAGGTGTGATGGTGCATGCCTGTACTCCCAGCACTCAGGAGGCTGAGGCAGGAGGACTGCTGCAAGTTCAAGGCCAGCCGACCTGCACAGCAAGACCTTATCTCAAAAAGACCAAAAAAATAAAAACCAAAACCAAACAAACACCGCCCCCCAAAAAAAAACCCCAACAAACTAAAAGCCCAGGGATATAACTCAGCAGCATAGCACTTGCCTTGAGTTTGATTCCTACTAAAAAAAAAAAAAAGAAAGAAAAAGAAAAGAAAAAAGATGTGTAATTCTTTATCTCTACAGTGCTACATGAGTGGAGTTAACTACTACATACACAAAGCAACAAAGAATGACCCCAGGGAAAGCTATGGTACAGTTACAGCCTTGAATGGACCTTTTTTGAAGACTGGTGAGGCAATCTGAAGGCCTTACCTGTTAGATGCTATGAAGCCATCCCATGGAAGTTTAAGTGGGAACAAAAGAGGTAACCTCCTTCTGTCCCCTATAAAACAAGGAAATTGGAATAGAAAACACTGGAAAAATCCTGAAAGGGAGGGAGGAAGATTAATAGACAAAGATGGTATCTCCATATTTATTAAAATCTTTATTTTTTTCAGAACCGGAATTCATGGAACACATTAGAAATTGGGGTGTGTCTTATTTGGTGCCTTTCCAAGACCCTCTACTTGTGTGACAGCTCTGAGAGGAAATCCTTGGCAACCAAACGAGGGCAGTGATTTCCATCCCTCCCTTTAAGCAAATAAATTAGCTCCCCACCACGTCATTCCCAGTTTCCCCATTTTGTGAGGAACACCTTGGTTCCAAAGTATTTGTGACAGTATGGTACCCAGTTTTTACTCACCACCCAGACGTAAGGGATGAAAGGAGCCAAGCAGCCTCTCCTCCAGAGCAAGTTTCACGGAGTCAGGCTCAGGCCCACCTGGCTCAGCAGAGCCACTCAGAAGGTGTTTTTTATCTTTATGTTACTTACAGTCCACTCAGAGAGACTGAAGAGAACTTTTAACAGCTTCAAGTACCTCTGCAATGTCAGTGTTTCCTTGTGTCAAAATAAATACATTTTCCTTAGTAGAACACACAGCCACCTTTACCAGTACGTACAGCTTCACCCACACTTCCTAAAGCCTGAGCTCACAGGAGAACTCGTCCAGGAAACTGAGGAGGCTGCTCTACCTCCCCAGAGAGGAGACAGGCAGGGTTGTGTGGGGAGGCTGAGGAAGTCGGTGTATGGGGGAGAAATCCAGAGTGTTTATTTTAAAGAAAAGACAGATTTCTTTGGAAGAGAGTGCGTGCCCAGGTGAAACTGAAAAACTGCCATGTACAGGATTCAACTTTCCCAAAATAATAATTAATATGCAAATAAATATACCTGAATTTCTCCATTTTCTTCCTAAATTTGACATACTAGCCCTGAGTGTAAACAGGGAGAAATGCCTTAAAATATATTGAACAATACTCTGAGCAAATTAAATCATATCAATTTGTTCAGCATAGAACAGAATTTATACCCTTCTCCCCAAACGTAATGTAGCCTCATTTAAAAAGTTTTAAACAAAATCTCTATACCCAGTATTCTATATCCAAACTTCAAAATACACATTTTGGAGAAGTGGAAGGAGCACAGCAAATGACAATCACTTCTGATTTTCCTGCTTTTATAGTATGAAAATGTATCCATATCCACCTAGACGTTCAGCTGTCAGACCCAAGTTAGAGCTAATCAAAAACCCTTCATTGACTTGGTTATAACAACCTGAGCTAGTTTCTAATAAACTAAACTAAAAGGCCAGCATTAAAAAAACTTTTTAAAAGTATCTCTTTTTTTTTTTTTCCACACAGAACTTAGTGTTTTTGAATTTTAGAGCTGTAAGCTTATGGTTGGTTTTCTTCAAGATTCATCATACTTTTAAAAATTTAACCTAACCCTAGTTTAAAAGATAAATGTATATTTTGTGTTATGTCTAAATTTAACCACTGTGAATCTGAATACCTTTTAAGATCCTGAGTCTGAAAGTAGTAAGGAAAAGAATGAAATGATATATTTTTACAAAAGCTTTGAAGCAAGGAGGAAATGCTTCTCAAATAGTTATTCTGTTTATTTTTTTGCCCAGGCTAGCCTCAAACTCAACTTCGTAAGTGCTGGGATTACAGATGTGTGCCACCATGCCTGGATAGGACCCTTTTTAAAATCAGTTATTCTTGTGTCCACCATAAAATGTATATAAAAATTACAATGATTGTTTAATTTTATGGTATTTTAAAGTACTTACAAGTTCCTCGGTTATCTTTCTGTGCCAGAAAATTGAGGCATTAATCGGAAAGCTGTTTTTGAAAGGGTAGAGGTCAAGGTGACTAGCATTAAACTTGTTCAACCACATTATTTAAGAATTGGTCTCTAATAACAGAAGTACAAAGCCGAAATGGCCTCTGGATAAGAGGCAGGAGGGACACACACAGCTCTGGGCACAGGCCACTAGGCAGTCCTGGCTTGTCCCCTCCAGCCCTGTCTACATGTCAGGATTATCTTCCCAGAACACAGTACTAAGCCTATGTTTTAGCAACAGGAATTTGACAGTGTTAAGCAGAGAGAGAACTCCAAATGAGATTGATACAATTAGGATCTGACATAAATCAAAATCTTAAGGCTTCTTCTGGCCAGCCCCTAACTTCAAGGCTCAGAAGACTTAATGTCTTTGATTCCAGTCTTCTGCATGGCTCAAATCATAAACTCAGTTTACCAGCTAGCAAGGAATATAGTCTCCTGTGGCCTAACTGCCCATTCTTATAATAAAAGCAAAAGCAGTCGGTCATTGATCTCCTACGAATGGCATCTTCAGTGACCAATACCTTAGAAACAGAAGTGGAAATTCATTTCAGAAGAGAAAGAACGATGGCAGAGAACACAGGCAACCTGACTATCATTCAAGGTATCATTTCAGTCTGCTTTGTTAATTTAGAAAGGATTTAACTGCTTTAAGCGAAAGGGGAAATCAGTCTTCATAAGAAAATCATGCTTGGTTTGTAAAAATCTTTTCTCTAGAGACAATGTTTTGGTTAATTTGGACACAACTGTGAGAATGCAGATCTTCCTTACACGAAAAGTCATGTTTGCTTTTCAGAGACCTCAGAACCTAATCACAGGGGAGTCAGCCCTCTGTTCATTCAGTCACCTCCCAATTCCGGTTCTATTCAGTGTCCCTCCTCTAAGATCACAAAACCACACAACACAACTGCTTAACAGCTTGAGTATCTTCCTGCTTTTGCCCTTCCCACCAATTCTATCTTACAAACGTATTCCCCTCCAAGAGAGCATTCTATTTTGACTTAACAGAATGCAAAGTTTTATTTGCCACCATTCTAGGTAGCAGTAAGCTTTCCAATTAGAATAGTGCTGGTTAAAAAACAAAAACAAATACAAAAAAAGACAATAAATTGTAAAGCGTTTCCACAAAATCCACAAGTGTGGAGAAAAGACTGTAGAGTTCACCTCAAAACAGTCTGGAAGCAATCGCAGCATTCACCTATTCAAGTGCCACATCTCTGTCCTTTGGCATGAGAATTAAATCTGACCAATGCTCATACCCATTGCTGAAATAGGCTACTACTGAGGAAATCAGAAGGTGGATCTGCAGGAATATCTCACTCTGAAAAATGTCTTTGCCTCAGTTTCTAGAAAATCCCAAAGATACCCAAGGCCACCTTGCCCTCTACTCCCCAAATTTGCTGCTGGCAACTTCCAAAGCCATCTGATACCATTTGGAATTGATTGTGCTGTTTCTCTACCTTTGTAAAAATAAGTTTCACTTATTCTGTGTTGAGAATTACAAGTGGGAAAGAGGCATCCTGTCTTCCACTAGCACAGTGTCCATCCCAAACTGGTCAGTGCACTGCTTCACGGTGGCCAGGACATTCAGCAGTCGCTGGTCCACAGCGTCCAGGTGAGGATCGGAGAGCACAGGGGAGATGGGGTCATGGGCCATGGCAGATTTTAAGGCAGACTTTAGCACTCCATTCTTTAGGTAGTTCAGTCTGTTCCAAGTGGAAACCCGAATGCTGGAAGAAAAAGTTTTAGTATAAATTACATAGAAGCTCTTATCAAATGGAGTTCAAAACTTGCTGGGCAGGCAAAACTTTAAAATTTTTTTGGCAATACTGAGGATTGAACCTAGGGCTTTCACACCTATTTATTTACTTATTTATTTTTTGGGGGGAGGTGAATGGGGCAGTGTCTCCCAATGTAGTATAGGCTGGCCTTGAACTCACTCACATAGCCCAGGCTAGCCTCAAACTCACAGGAATCCTCCACCTCAGTCTCCCAAGTAGTGGGATTGCAAGGATGTACCACCAGACCTGACCACATTTCCTTTTTTTAAATTTTAATTTTTTTATTTTTTTGCAGTACTGGGGATTGAACTCAGAATCCTGCGCTGGCTTGGCAAGTGCTTATTCTACTGAGCTATCTCCCTGGCTCCCACTGAGTCCTTTTTAAAATTTTATTTTGAGACAGGATCTCACCAAGTCACTAATTAATCAGAGGTATATACAAAGCCTCACATACTCCAAAAGCTGTAGGGAAACAGACTATGTGCACAAAATTGGAATGACTATGGGATAACAATACACTACAAGGTTGTTCTTTACATATTACATATAATTTTAATTCCTTAATGTTTCTGATTTTTAAAAATTTTGACCAATAATATCATAAGTAGGAAAATTATTTTAAGGATCTCTATTTTGCTTGTTTTAAATTTAAATTTAATTTTTTTGAGACAGAGTCTTGCTATGTAGTTTAGGCTTGCCTTATACTCACTATATAGCCCAGGCTAGCCTCAGCCTCTAGTGATTCTCTTGTCTCAGCCTCCCAAATGTTGGGAATACAGGCCTGGATTCCTTGATTATTTTATCAGCTACTATAGTTTGCTATTCCTTCCATTGCTCTTGTTGAAGTTTAGTAGCCAGTAAAAAACTAGTAAGAGGTGAAACTTTAAAATGTGGTTAAGGCCATGAGGCAGAACTCTCAGTGGAGCTGATACGTGTTATGAAAAAGCCTCACTCTTGTCCTCTCTCTGTGCCCTTCTGCCTCCTGCCATGTGATGACACTGTAGATGCCAGTACCTTGATACTGGACTTCTCAGCTTCCAGAACTATGAGCCAATAAATTTCTGTTCATTATGAATTACCAAGTCTGTAGTATTCTATTACAGCAGCACAAAACAGTAAAAACACTGGCAAGACAGCTCACCGGTTTAAAGCGCCTGCCTAAGCGCTTTAAACCTAAGCTCATCACATACTGAGCCCTGCCCTCAGGGCAGGCTGAGGGGGGATGGACCAGAGTAAGATACCAGCAAAGACAATGCAGGAGGAAGGAGGAAAGAGGTCTCTGGGTGCGTGCTTTTGGCAACTACATAGTAGGTCAGGGGTGCAGGAGGGAGGTCAAGCATGTGGCTGTGCCTGGACCACATGCCCAGCAGCTGTGGGCCCCCTTGGTAACCCTGAAGCCTCAGCCTGGACTGGTGATAAATTTCCAGAGGTCCTCTTGATGTGGAAATCACAACCTTGAAGTGCATGTTCCCACCCTTCAATTCATTCTGCAGGCCTGAAGCTGGAGGAGTCCTACTGGGTAATCCTTTCTGTGGGCCATGACCCCAAGTGCCTGCATTCTGGAGGCTGCTTGAGGCTTGCCCAGCACCCGCAACCAACAAACCTCAGTCATCCACTGAGCTAAGTGGCACCTTCTCCACTGAGATCCAAACTCCACTATGGGCAGGGGATCCTCTTCCAAGTTTGTCTTTGGGTACTCTCCCTCATTCCTGATTTCCTTGTCAGTCACTCTTAAATTAAAATTTAATAGTTCTTTATAGTAAACATCCCTGTTTAACATACTATGTCTTTTTTTAATTTTCTGAGTGGATCAAACTGACATAACTAATACAAAAACATCTTTCTTTAATTTATTATCTGCACCACTCTTTCCCAATTATTAATGAAGACAAGAGTTGCCTGAGTAGTTTTTTGGTTTTGGAGGATTTTTTTTTGGTACTGGGGATTGAACTGAGGATCTTGAGTTTGCCAGGCAGGGGCTTATGACACTGAACTAACTTCCTGGCCCTCAAGAGTTGCGTGAGTAAACCTAGTTGAGAAAGGAGAAGAGAAGGGAGGGGAGAGGGGAGACCAGTGGCGCTAAGGAGCAGCCTTACAAGCTTCGAATGTGCCTGGGAGTTGCTTAGTGCTAAGAGGTGCTGCTGGGTCTGCTTTTCTGCACAGCCAAGCAAGGTGACCCAGCTGATTCTTGATGTGTACACTTTAAAAATCAGATCAAGAATGCTGCTCTGAATATAGGCTCCTTAGAGCCTATTTCTGTCTCATTTTCTTGAATTACTTTTCAATTTCTTTGTTCTCTAATATAGACATTGTTTTTTGTTTCTGAGTCTTGCTATATGGTCCATGTTAGCCTTTAACTGACTTTGTAGCCCAGGCTGGCTTCAAACCTGCAATCCTTCTGCCTTATCCTCATAACTGCTAGGATCACAGGCATGCTTTACCATGCTCAGCTTAATACAAAATTTCTTAAAAATCAGTTTTTAAATAGACACTTGTGAAAGTTATTTTTAAATTAGATGATTTCAAACTGAGATATACAAATCCCAGTTTTTATGTGATGCTAGGATTTAAAATCAGAAGGTAAAAACCAGATATAGCAATATAGATTATTTTTGAAGATTTGATGGGTTTTTTTGTTTTTTTGCAGTGGTGTGGGAAGTACAAGAGGGGGTTGATTATACTTGGATATTAAGCCAAGCATAGATAAACTTATTCCCTCTCTACTGGAGATTAAACCCAGAGCCTTCACACTGAGCTTTTTTAACATAGCCCTTTCTTTATTGTCTTGAGATAGGGTCTTGATAAGTTGCTAACTTGCCCAGGATGGGCTCAAACCTGTTACCTCCCTGCCTCAGTCCTCCACAGTGCTGGAATTACAGGAACTACCCCCAAGTGACTATTCACTCAAAATTCAAAATAAATTTTGCACTTTGGGTCACCTGCCTCTATCTTTCCCTGATCCCCATCTTAAGATCTCTAGAGGTTCTGAATTGAAAAAAGAAACTGTGTGTTTTGGTTCTGGGGATTTTTTGGTCTTTTTCTGAGGAAGGGTTTCACTATGCAGTTCAGGCTGGTCTTGAACTCACTTTGTAGCCCAGGCTGGTCTCAAACTTACAGCAATCCTAACTCAGACTCTTGAATGCTCGTGTGTGTGCATGTTTCTAATGTATTTAGTCCAGAGTCTACAGGGTCTCACTACTCAGATCAGACTTGTAGTGATCCTCCCATTTTGGTTTTTTTCTTTTTTATTTATTTAGTTAGTATAGGGTCTACAGGGTGTTACTACACAGATGGTACTCGCAGTGATTCTCCTGTTTTCAGCCTCCCAAGTGCTGGGATTACAGGCACACGCCACCACACCCAGTCTCAATCACATACCCTCAGGGCAGGGCTGGTAGGACCAGCATGGCACGCTGGGGATCGAACCCTAGTCCCTGTATCCATCTAAGCAGGCGCTTTAATCTGCTGAGCTATTTGGCTGGCCCATGTGCTTGTTTTTTGAGACAAGGTCTTACTATGTATTCTGTATTGGTCCTGAACTTACTATGTAGCTATGTAGCCTTGGGCTGCCTCTAGGAAGTTTTGTTTTGTTTTTTTTTTTTTTTTTTTTAATGTATTTAGTATAGGGTCTACACGGTCTCACACAGATCAGACTTGTAGTGATCCTCCTGTTTTTCAGCCTCCCAAGTACTGGGATTACAGGTTTGTGCCACCATACCCAGTCTTATCACCTTGTCAGTGCACCCCGGAAGCAGGGCCGGAACAGTAGGCCAGGGATCGAACTCTAGTCCCTGTGTCTGCCTAAGCAGGTCCTTTAATCCGGCCTGCCCTGCCTTTAGGAAATTGTAAGGTTAAGGAAATGGGTGTAATGTTACCTGAGCCTAAAAAGGAAAGCAGTGCATGCATACGGATTGGCTGTGCGTAACTCACATGCAACACTGATAGAGAGGGGCAAGAATGCTTCTCTCATCCAACGCAGGGTTCCCAAAGCTGAAAATTAAATGAAAACTTAGTGAATTAGACAGAAGTATCAGTTCCCTGCTTAGCATCAAACAAACAGGAAATTCTGTAAGAAACCCCAATGTGACCCCAGATAATTCAATGTGCTAGCAGCTCCAATCATTTAAAAATAAGCAGGGCATGACCAATTAGACATAGGATCCCTAACAGCCTGTGCTGAAGTATCAAAAAACAACCTCATTTACAAAGAGTTTTTCCTTTCAAGATCCTGCAAGGTACTGGAGTGTAACTATGGTAATAGTGTGGAATGCACAAACCAAAAGAAGAACAAGAAAACTCTTAAACTTGAAAAGCTTGAGAGAGAAATAAGGGATATCCATATTCCAAACAAGCAGATGGCCATTACCTGTTCTTCTCCAATATTACCAATATCCTATTATTCACAAGAAAGTATACTGACAGCTTCAAGCTAGATAAGCTGCTCAGAGGGGTCTAGGAAACACTGATACAAAGCAGATATAAAAGTGCTATTAGCAAAGGGCTGGCCTGACAGCTCAGCAGACTAGGGAGCCTGCTTAGGTAGAGTGCAGTGGCCAGGGTTTGATCCCAGGTGGGCCATGCCGGCCTCACCGCCAGGGTGTGCTGAGATGGCAGTTGATATTGGGCATGGTGGCGCACGCCTGTAATCCCAGCACTTGGGAGGCTGAAAACAGGAGAATCACAATGAGTCCAATCTACATAATGAGGCCCTATAGACCCTGTCCTAAGTACAGAAAAAAAAAAAAAAAAAAGAAAAAGGTATTATTAGCTAATTCAGAGTTAGAGAAACACAGATGATTCTGGAAAAGCTGTCAACTTTCACTCTTTTCCAGGAAGCACTAAACAGCTGGAGAGTCTGCTAACCCTCAGCACAGTCCATGTCCTCCAATAATAAAAGCTGCTATGGTATGTGTCCCCTCTGTCCTAAAATGTTCATGTTGCTAAATAATCCCTAGTGTAACAGGTGGGCAGGGCCTTTGGGAAGTGATCAGTGGGAATCTCATGAACAGGATTTGTGTCCTTAGAAGAGAGAGCTTGTTCAACTCGTCTACCATATGAGGACACGCAGGAGGTATTATCTAAGGAACGGACCCTCACAAGACCCTAAATCTATCCGTATCTTGATCTTGGACTTTCCAGAATTCTTTTTTTTTTTTTTTTTTTTTTTTTTGTTTCCTGAATTCTAAGCAAATATCTGCTGTTTGCAAATTGCTCAGTACTTTGTTATAGCAGCTAGCATAGACTAACCAACAAATTTGATATGTATTAACTGTTAAGTATATCAGAATTTATAGTACATTTTATACAAAGTGACCATTTTTATAAGCAAATATAAAGAATTTCAGAAGCAAATATGGCCCTAGGTATTAGCTGCTTTGCTGTGATGAGCCAGAGGGAGAAGCAGTTTGTTGGCCGACTTTCTGTCACCATCAGCATCTTTCAGAGTATGAGGCACCTATTGCTCAATATAAGAGGATGGCATCATTTCCTAATGCTACTCAAGAGCCCTATCTCAGCTTTCCCAGCATTTGGGGTAACTGTAGTGACTTAGTGCCTGGACAGTTCTAGGCTCCAAGAAAGCATTCTATTTTAACAAATTCTATTTAAGCATAACTAGAAGTATAGCAATAACTGACCACCATAGTCAGTGCAAAGTGGAAATACAATGTACTCTCCAAATAACTTAGGCCTAAAAAGGATTTATAATAATAAATAAACCTACTCAAGTCAAAATCATTTTATTTAATACATAATCACTACACAGTAGCTCTTCTTATGATAGCAAAAGTCTCAGCCCAGACTGCTACAAAAATTGCAGAATATCCTATTATTTGACAGGATTAAATTTTAAATTGCATGAACTTCTAGATAGATGAATTTAACAGAAAATAAAGTCCATCTTCTATTAAATCTGTATTTCTTAGATTTGATGCTCTATAAACATCATAGCCAAGAAAGAAGGATGCAGATGATGACAAATTAAGGACCTTGCCTTCTAGCTATCTGTAAAGGGGCCATTTTTAAGCCTTGAAATCCCTGAGGGGCAGAAAAGGATGGGAGCCAATACCAAAGGGCCCAAGAAAAAAAAAAAAGGACACATTTTATCTACAGTATTCTGGGTGTTTTCCAGGACACCTGCTCTAGATCAGATCTGAATGTCTCTCAAAGGCTGATCTGCAAAAGATCATACATACTGGCTGCCATCATAAAGTGCTGCTAGGAGGGGTGGCACCTTTAGGAGGCATGGCTTGGGAAGGAAGTAAAGGTGCTGGGGGCTTTCTCTTGAAGGGAAAATTGGAACTCTCCCCCTTCCTCTCAGTGCATGTTAGCTGCCATGCGGGAGCAGATGTTCTCCACCATCATGTTATACCTCACCACAGGTTCAAACACAACAGAACCAACTAAATAAAGATTGAAATCTCTGAAATAGTCAAAATAAGTCTTTCTCCCTTTTATGTTGATTTACCTCAGGCATCTGTTATCAAAATGAAGAGCACATTAACATGATACACTAGAAAAAAAACCTTTTTATATAGATAGAAAGTGACAAAAGGCAGTCCTGCTGGTCTTACCTTTTGGCATTATCGAGAAGGATGAGCATACTAGCACCTTCATCATCTTGAAAGCTCTCATAGTGATGGCGGTCAGCATTGCCAATCAGGTAATCAAAGACAGAGGTGTCAATGATGTCCAAGAGGCGTGGGCCTGAGTCATATGGAGATGTTTTTTTCACAGCATCACAGTAGCTCTCATCATACTCCCACCTGGAGGCAAGTAACATCACGAGGGTTACTGAGTGCCAATAATGTACTTTGCTGTTATGAGTTAAACCTTTAATGTCCTCCAAAGACCATGTATGGAAGGTGTGAAGGAGCTTTAGGAGGAGGGAACCAAGTGGAAGTTAGGTCACTAAGCATGTGCCATGAAAGAGAAACCAGACCCCTGCCCCTCTACCACATTGCTTCCCAGAAGCCATGAGGTGAGCAGCCTTACTCCACAATGTATTTTCCATCATGATGTTCTGCCTCACCATAGATCCAAAAGCAATGGAGCCAACCTACCATGACTGAATCCTCTGAAATTATGAGCCAGAAACAAACTTTTCTTCCTTTTAAGTTGTTTATCCTAAGGATTCTGTCATAGTAATGGAAAACAGAAGATTGGTACCAGAAAGGCCAGGGAGATAGCTCAATACCATAAGAACCTGCCTGACAACCCAAAGGTCCAGAGTTCAATCCCCAGGACAAAAACTAACTAAATAAAAAAAAAGAAAATTGGTACCAGAAATAAGATAGTTACTATGACTACTATCTTACAGTATGGTTCAGAAGCCTTTGGAACTGCTCTGCAAAAGTTTGGAGAAGCAGGTTAGAGAAAGCCTAAAAGGCTTGAAGCAGAGACTAATGTACAACTCTGGTGGGAACTCAGAAGGCCACAATGTTGACAGAAATGCAGACAGCAAAGACTGTGCTTGTGAGATTTTATATGGAAATGAGGCCTCTATTGGAAACTGGACTAGAGAGAATCTGTGTTAAATTCTGGCAAAGAATTTGTTTATACTTTATCCATGCCCTGAGACTCTGCAGGAGGCTGAGTTTAAATGAAGTAGACTGGTTTATCCAACAAGGGAAATTTCAATATATCACAGAATTCAGGCAGTTTGACTGTCACTTTTAGTCATGAAAAATGGGAGATTTGAAAAATAAATCATGTGACTAGTAAAGAAGCATGTGTACAATTTAGACCAAGGAAGATGAAGCTGCTGAAGAAATTAGAACGATTAAAAAGAATCCTGGGGGCTGGCGAGATGGCTCAGTGGTCTAAAGCACCTACTTGGAACAAGCTTGGCAAAGCACAGGGACCGCGGTTCTATCCCCCAGCACCACATACCAGCCAGCCCTGCCCCCTGGTGGGCTGAGCTGGTCACACACACACACACACACACACACACACACACACACACACA